AGTGCAATAATGCAAGAAATAAAACAGCATACATATTGGAAAGGAGACAGTAAAAATATCCTTTTGTGGTTAACAAGCATGTAGAAAATTCTAAGATATCTGTGTACACAAAACAGTAGAACTTATGAGCCAAGCAAAGATACAAGGTGAAATACAAAAATAGATCATATTTCTGTATTCTAGCAACAAAAATTGTAATTCAAAACAATACAGTTTACAATATCTTGAAAATATTAAATACCTAGGAAATATAAAATATTTGCAGGACATGTACACTGAAACTACAGAATATGGCTGGAAAAATGGAATAAAAAATAGATTTGAAGAAACTGAAAGGCTGATTCTAAATTTTATAGGGAAATGCAAAGGACATAATGTCAAAACAATTTGAAAAAGAACAAGGTTGGAAGACTTAACTCTGATTTCAAGAATTAGAGCTACAGGAATCAGACATTGTGGATTATCCAGCATAAGGATAGACATGTAGGTCAAAAGGAGTATAGAAGGCCTTTAGATGTGGCCATATATATGATGAATTGATTTTCTACATATGTGCCAAAATAATTAAATGAGGAAAGAACAGTCTTTTCAACAAATGGTGCTGGAACTGATTATTTATTAACTTGAAGCAAATTATAGACCTAAATGTAAAACCTACAACTATAAACTTGCAGATGAACTCGTAAGGATACATTTTACAATCTTATGTCACAGCTAAATAATCTGAGTTTAAGAAAGCTGAATCTTTTATAATGGGCTGCAAGCACACCTTCCTGACCTTTGCCCTGGAGGGAAACATTAATACTGATGAGGAAGCAAACCTGCCTTCTATTCCAGAAGGAGACTATTTCTGCCTTCCAAGTTGTTTGCTGTACAAACATCCTTGAAAAGATACGTCCAGAACAAAATGGCAGTTAATACCTTGCTCTTAAGAGACTCAGTTTCCCAACACTGCCTATCATCCGCTAGGCCTTGTCAGACCACCAAGTCTTAAGGACCACAGGGAAGACATAAGCTGCATGAGCAAGTAGCCCAGATCCCCAGAGTATCCACCACTGTCATACCAGTGCCCCTTCCTCAGCTAACACATTTGGTTTTGTAAGTGATCTTGTATGATCAGATGGAGGAGGAAGAAAAAGACCAAGCTTCATTTACAGGTGTGATGGCTCAGTATGTGGGTAAAGCCAAAAATGGGTAGCATTGAAACCTTACTTATGGGTGGTTTTGAAAAACAGTGGCAAGGGAAAACCACCTCAATGGGCAGATCTTTAGTGGTGCACCATGTCATTTACTTTGTGTGGAAAGATAAGATGTGGAAAGATAAGAAACCCAAAGTTAGAATATATACATATATATGGAATCATGGGCAGTGATGAAAGACCCGGCCAGCTGCTGAGAGACATGAATGGAAAAAATTTTAAGATTGGAGACAAGAAGGTCTGGGATAGAGGTAGGTACATGGACATATGAGAGTGGGAAAGAAGTGTGAAAATCTTTGAGTCACATATTAGCACCCACCATGAAAGAGGCATTAAACAATCAAGTGGACCAAACAACCAATCCAATTCATGTCAGGTAGTCCCTGCACTGGCCACTCCAGGGCCAGTGCAATGGGTAGGTACATGAACAAAGTAGCCACAATGGCAGAAATGGAGACTATCCATGGGCTTAACAGCATGAACCCTCCACTTACCAAGGCTGGTCTAGCTATTGCCACCACTGAATGTCCAATTTACCAACAACAAAGATAAATGCTTAGTGCCCAATTCCTCAAGGAGACCAATGGGCCACATGCTGGCAAGTTATGTATTTTGGGCCCCTTCCATTCTGGAAGGGCAAGTTCATTCTCATAGGAACAGACATGTATTTTATGTACATGGTTTGCCCTTTATGTCTACAGGGCCTTAACCAGCACCATTATCTTAAGGGCAGTGGAGTATTTGATTCATTGGCAAGGGATTCCACATAACATCACCTCAGACCAAAGGACCCACTTTACAGTAAATAAGTGCTGGAGGGAGCCCATGACAATGGAACTCACTGGTCATATCACATACATCACCCACAAGCTGCCATCCAGATAAAGCATCAGAATAGCTTGCCAATGTGACCTGGATAATTAGGAAGAGGTACAGCTGCCATTACACAATGGAATGTGTAATAGTGTAGAACCCAGGTGATTTACTTGGGCACTACTTTGTACATCTTTGCCCAATTGTGACTGCAAAGAGAAAAACCATAGTCTGAGAAGTACATGATTACCAGGTACTCAGGCAGTTCAGAACAATCCAGTCATTCTTCCAGACTAATCAAGCCTCAAGACTTGGTAGCTGAGTAAAGAGAATCTACCATGGATAGCGGAGAAAGAAGATTATAAGTATCAGTTGTGGCCCTCAGAAAAACTACAGAGGCTAACTTCCCTTCCAAGTTTTTTCTCAGGAAGAGAGTAAGGTGGGTGTGTAGAAAAAGGCCCAGCAAAGCCCAATCATCGTGGGTAATTCTCATTCCAAACTCCCCACTAGGTTGGTCTAGGAGTTGTTGGGCCTGCATCATAGTTCCACTTCTCTTTCTGCCCAATCCAGATTCCTTCCTTCACATGTATTAATCCTTACTACATATCTTGCATCTTAAACTCCATCTCAGACTCTGCTGATACAATGTGCAAGTACCCCATACACTCAACCTGTAGGAACTTTATCAATATGACAGACTCCTAAATAATTTTTGAGATTTCTCTCTGACCTTCTGGCATGTATTATTTTACTAAGGCATCTAGGAAATTTCTGCTTTATGCTCACCAGGTCTCAATAGTATGTCATCAGAGTAATGGACAAGCAAGATATTGTGTGAAATACCATTACAAATAAGTTAGAAATTTTATGTTATTATGTCACAGAGGAGAACTGATGAAGTCCTGGAGTAAAACAGTGATGGTGTAATGCTGTCTCTACTAGGTAAAGGCAAACTGTATCTGATTATCCTTATTCATTAGAATTGAGAAAAAAAGTTTGCACCCACCAAACAGGCAATTTAATGGCAATAATAATTACCATGTGGATCAGAGTCCCAGCAGGAGACAGATGGCATGCTGAAACCAGTAATTAAAAGAGAGTTCAGTAAAGGAAATATTTATGAAGGTGTGGGAAGGGTTTAAGGAAACCACAAGGTTTCAGTGTTCCAAGACTAGCAGCAGAGGTGAGCCATCACCAACCCTAAGCCTGAAGTGGCAAGAAGGGAGTTCCACTTCCTAGAAAGGGTATCTGTATGGGAAGGGCCATATGACAGGAGCTATGGTAAACAGTGAGTCCACAGCATGAAAGCCAGTAGAATGACTATCTTGACTTTACTTTCCTCTCATCCTCTCATCTTATGCTACTATTTCCTGTTGGCCAAATCCAACCAGAATTTGGATCAGAGGGCTAGGGAACCCACTGAGTGTCCTTGTCTATGGACAGTACCACCTATAGAGCAGAGCAAGACAGGCCCATGTTTGGGAGTTACCCACATATCACAAATCCATAAAAAAGTTAAAGAACGCATGGGCAAATCAGTATTCGATGGTCAGTCAGGATTTGGTGGTTAATCAGGATTTTGTGGTCAACGAAACTGTTAACATCCATTCTCATAGCTAATACTGCTCAGGCTCCAGGGAAATTCTTCATATCTCACATTCTATATCTTTGAAATATTATAAAATGTGACTGCATCTAAATGCTATAAAGGTTTGTAGGCTGTGCTGCTATAAAACTAGAGGAGAATATAACAGTGGAAAGAGTATTTGAGCTTGAGCAAGCAAGTCGATAAAAATAGATAAATTACTTTAGCCAATCTTTGTTCTCAGCATAAACACAATAGATTTTTGCATAATGAAACATTATTTCTTCTCTTAGGGTTCCATTAGTGGAATGGAAGTACTCAACAATTATTGTGGTGACCACGGTGGTTGCAATTGGCAGCTTAGGAACACTTTTCCATATTAAATTACTGTTCCTTTTAAAATAATATATATGTAGGTCTAGATATGATGTGAGTAAAGTGTGGTACCAATTCTTTATATTACCCTACAGATCTAGTTATCGCTTTAAGAGATGGTGAGAATCACAATATAAGTGATACAATTGTTATGATAAATTTAAACTTTTATAATATTTGCTGCAATAACAATGTTACCATATGCAACAACTCCATTACAGTTGAACACAATAGATAAAAGTCATTGTTCATTTCTGAAGCTAAAGATTACTTTAAAAATTTTATTGATAATTCCAGTTGCTACTGCCTCAACAGAGCAAAATTTCTTCAATTTGAAAGAATTAAAAAAACTATTCTATACATAAATTATCCTTCAATAAGCCTGAGATTGTTTTAAAAAAATCTATCCAAGAACCACAATGACCGAAGACAGGATAATTTGGCATTTCTGCAGACAGAAGACAAATGTCAAAAATCTTGGCTTTAAAAATAGAGATTCTTCTGAAGTAAAGGGAAGAAAAATAAATTTTATGAAATAAATATATAATGTGTGAATTATGCATCTATATTTTATATTTGATCCAAACACCACTAGATTATTATAGAACACCCAGACATGTGCAATAATTAAGTTCAGCTACATTTTGTTATTACATATATTTTAAATCTACTTGGAAAAGTGTTGGTCGGGGCACAGCGATGATAACTCCTAATGTTTTCTCCAAGCCAGGGTTCCTCCTCCCCCAGCAACTCGATCCCGGAGTCGTGGGCGTGTCTGGAGTCTCGGGGGTGCCTGGAGTCGCGTCCGCCGGAATCCCGCCTCGGGGCGCGGCTCCCAGCTCCCAGAGCTCCTCCGCGCTCCCTTGCTCCCCTCGCCAGCCCTGGCGGCCCAGGCCACGCCCCCAGCGGCCCATTCGTTCGCTCGTCCCGCGGGCGCCCCCGCACACCCCTCCGTTGCGCGGGTCCCAGCACGCTGAGGCGCTGCTGCCGAGCGTGGAACGAAGACGTGGCTCCCGGGCGGAGAAGCCATGTTGGACTTCGCGATCTTCGCTGTCACCTTCTTGCTGGTGTTGGTGGGAGCGGTGCTCTACCTCTACCCGGTAACCGCCGGCTCGGCCTCGGTCTCGCCCGCATCCACGTCGCCCTGCCCGCGGCGGGTCGCAGGGGGCGGGCCCGGAGGGGGTGCGGGGAGAGCTCCTGCTGCGGCTCCGGCTCAGTCCAGCTCCGGGGCATGTGACGCTTTGCGGGCGCTCACGGGGCTGGCGCTGAGGACAGAGGGGCGCGGGCCGCACGGCCGCCTTCCGACGCCGAGTGAGGCGGGCAGGTGGTTCAGCATCGCGGGTGCGGCCGCCGGGGGCTGAGGGCTGGTCCGCGGGCCCGGCCTCCCTGCGCCTGCCCTCGCCACGCCACTGTTAAGGGCGGGTCTGAAGCGCTTTGGTGGCTTTCGGGCAGTAACTCTGCCCACTCCAGTTCCATTTTCTAGTGTGCTTGGGAGGAAACTCCAGGCTGCTCCACGCCTTTCCCCTTTCCCAAGGATTCTCCCCCAGTGTTTCTTTTGTCGTCTACCCTTCCACCTGTCTTTCAACTTTCATTCCTGAAATCCAAAGTCCTTAAGGCCCAGACCGGGTCTTGCTCCTCGCAGGGCCTCACGGGCTAAATAAAGCGGTCGTGGAAGGAGCCCTGTGCAGGGGGAGGTTAGCTGTGAGCTTCACCTAGCGGAGGGCTTTATCTCTGAATCTCCTTCCGGCTTTCTTCTTCAGCCTCAGAAGGTGGTTCTGAAAACAAAGGAGCTAATGGATGAGGGATCATCTACAAAGCAAGGTGGTGGTTTTGTAGAAGTTGTAAAGCAGCAGCACAGCGCCAAATACATCACTGGCAATGACAGAACACCTTAAATATTCTCGCTGGTAAATGGATTGGATTGGAGTATTGCAACTGCACAGTCTGGAACTTTCAGTGAATCTTATTTTCTGAGACATAGCCATCTGGAAGGTTAGGAGAGTGCGGGAGTAGGGAAATGAGATTTCCAGGCAACTCACTTGAAGGTCATGAAATTAAAATAAGACTAGTCATTATGGGTGTGTTTTTCCCCAGCAGTTTTTTTTTTTTTTTTTTTTTTTTGCGGTACGCGGGCCTCTCACTGTTCTGGCCGCTCCTGTTGCGGAGCACAGGCTCTGGACGCGCAGGCTCAGCGGCCGTGGCTCACGGGCCCAGCCGCTTCGCGGCACGTGGGGATCCTCCCGGACCGAGGCACGAACCCGTGTCCCCTGCACTGGCAGGCGGACTCTCAACCATTGCGCCACCAGGGAAGCCCTCCCAGCAGTTTTTCTTCATCTATGTGGAATCAGGGGCAGTTGACAGAATATTGGGTTTAATTAGAATTGGTGTTTTACTAGGTGCTTTTGACAAAAGGATATAGGGCAAGGGAGTGGTTATAATGGACCATGGAATCTCAGCTGGAGAGAGTGGAAAATGAGTATATGAGTGGGTGGGTTAAAAGTCCTTTTGGGGTAAAAATAGTTTTTGGAGTCAAGATGTTAAAAATAGTGAAAAGGAAAAATAGGAGGTGCTTGGAGATTTGGATGCTTGATGTTAAAACTCTGGAGATGGTGAAGTTATTGGTAATGTCAAGACCTAGTGTACAATCATAGGAATGAGTGGCTGAGATCAGGTGGAGTTTTGACTTGGGGACAGATGGGTCAGGAAAGAAGATAAACTTCTGTAGGAATAGGAGTCTGGGGGACGAGGGAAGACCTAGGGATGGTAGTCCTGGGCTTAGTGTGCTGTCTAATGTAGGTTAGGAAAAAGGTCGTAGTAACATTCTGGATGGTCTCAAGGTAGATGATAGTGGTGAGGCTACGATTATCAGGGAGTTTGGCAGGGTCTTGCCAGGTGCATGCCAATTTGGGGATCTCATCAATCTAGCTATGTGGAAGATGTGGATATAGTAAAGGGCAGGAGAGCATTTTGCCTGGTGTTCTGGGGCTCGCTCTTCATTTCTCGTCTTGAAGGGTGGAGGTTGGTGTAGGAGCTGTCTTATCCAAAGAGCACAGCCTTCTGAGGCGCCCTCTGCATGCCTGCTGCTGGAGCTGTAGAGATATGATGAGTGCGGTGAGGAGGGGTTGTAGTTAGTACCTGCACATTTTTAGAGGTTCTTCACTGCTGCCTATCAGTAGTTTCGGCAGATATTTCGACATTTCTGTCGTAACACTCAGTGAACTTGTTCAAGTGTTCAGAGACATCAGTTGTATTTCCTTTCCCCTGAAAATATCTATTATGGAGCCTTCCATCATCCTTCCCTAGTCAGTAGTGGTTATCATCTCCTTCGGCTGCATAGCTCTTGTCCTTTTACTCTCAGAATTGGTATTCTCTTTGCCTGTGTTGGATACCCTATTTCCTAGGTGCCACATGAGTCTCTCTCTCTCTCTTTCTTTCAGTTCCTTTATTTGCTGCAGATGCATCATTTTCCAGTAATTTCCTAAGAAAGTGTGCATGGAAAATACATTTTTTGAGATCTTGCTTTTGTGAAAATCTTGCTGTCCTAGCTTCAAACTTGAATGATAGTTTGGCTTAGTATAAAATCCTAAGTTGGAAATAATTTTCCCTTAGAATTATAGGGGCCACCACCCACCAGCCGGTTGTTCCTGAATCTGTAGTCTCAAGGTCTCTTTCCAGAAGGATGGTAATCACAAGAATGGTGTCTGAGGGATCTGTATACTGGCTTTTTGCTAATTGTTAAAATCTTGCGTCTTACCCTGCCTTTCTGCTTACTGAGTGCAAATCTGATTGCTTCTTGCGGGAATTCTCCTCTGCAGACCCCCAGAGGAGGCCTCACAACTACGTCAATTAATCACTGCTCCAACAGCTTAACACTTCCAACAAAATTGGTTGGATTGTTCGTCCACTGTTGTCTCCTCTCCTATTCTCTTTATCGGTATTTTCTCGTTTTTTATATCTTCACTTTCATTTTGTGGGATATCAGGAAGAGATAATTGATGAGTGTTATCAATCTACCATGTTTAAAGAGAAGTCAGGAAACTTGTTTCTGTCAGTAATTTCAGCCTAGAAAATAAAAAGTTGGCTTTTTTTATATGACTGACTTTTTCTTTTTCTAATTGAGTTCCTTCCATCCTTTTCCCCACTTTTTATAATATCAAACTTGACAAGTTTCCATTATTGATGAGACTGTAGGACAAAATTTTACATTGTAGGTTTCATTGTCATCAGTTAAATGCAAGTTGCACATACTATTACCTAGATAGTATTCTTTTTTTTTGAAAAGATTATCACTTCAGACTACTACTTTTTTTTGTTTGTTTTAAATTTATTTTTATTTATTTATTTTTGGCCGCGTTGGGTCTTTGTTGCTGCACATGGGCTTTCTCTAGTTGCGGCGAGTGTGGTCTACTCTTCATTGTGGTGCACAAGATTCTCATTGCGGTGGCTTCTCTTTTTGCAGAGCACAGGCTCTAGGTGCGTGGGCTTCAGTAGTTGTGGCACACAGGCTCAGTAGTTGTGGCTCGCGGGCTGTAGAGCGCAGGCTCAGTAGCTGTGGTGCACGGGCTTAGTTGCTCCACAGCATGTGGGATCTTCCCGGACCAGAGCTTGAACCCGTGTCCCCTTCATTGGCAAGCAGATTCTTAACCACTGCGCCACCAGGGAAGCCCCTAGATAGTATTCTTATAGGATTTAGTACAAACTGTTAAACTCTTCAGTTAGTATCATTCAACCTAGTATCTCTCTTTTGGCGTACATACCCCAAAGGAGGAAAAAAGTAAAGTTGTATAAAGATTTTCATGGCACTACCTATAACAATGAGAAAATGAAAGAAAGAAATAGCCTAGATGTTTTATAACACTATAGCAGGAAGATGATTACATAATTGTGGATACATAGTGGAACACTGTTTAGCCTTTAAATGTTCAAATAAATAAATATTCATTTATTTGTATAATGTTAAGTAGGGGGGAAAAGGGCAGAATGTCAGACAAATAAACTCTGGTTAATACTAGCTAAAATCATTGACAAAATTCAGAATTGATTCTGGAGTTGACTATTTTAGGTTATTTTTCCTGTAAATATTTAGTTTATTTAAAAATAGTTTTACAAGATATCTTACGCTTGTTGTAAAATAAAAAAAAGACACTAACCTCTAAACCCAGCAACCATAAACCCAGTACAAAATTGTAAAACATGAAAATTCCCCTGACTTTTTCATAGTTCATTCTTCAGAGGTTGTCACTTTAACAATTTGCTATGAATTATTTTGTTATTTATTTCTATACCAGACACCTTTCTGACTGTATGACCCTGATAATAATAACTGCATTAAAGCATTGACATTGTATTTTGGTAAGTTCTTTGACTAGAAAGAGGAGAACTGTTTTAGGAATGAAACTATTATAATCATGACATTGATTTTTTTTGAAAGCCAAGACAGATAGGACCATATATAGTCTCAGAACAAAGAAAAATGTACTTGATTATGTATTAATTGATGAAGAATGGATGTTAAATTCTTCAAACACCTTAGTTTAGTTGATAGGAGGAATGTTAGGATAATGCTTTTTAATACAAAGAATCCAGTTTTTGTATTTTAATATAGAAATAATCTCTGAGATTCAACCAATTTGGAAAACCATCATTTAAGGTCCTGCAGATGTCTTGGGAAAACGCATCTGACTTATGGGATATGTGATAATTCATTATACTAAACTTTAAAAAATTTTTTCCCTAAGGCTTCCAGACAAGCTGCAGGAATTCCAGGGATTACTCCAACAGAAGAAAAGTAAGTTGTTTTTTTTTAAATCAAGTAGAGTCAACTCTTAATTTTGGATCAAAACTAAACCATATCTTTAGATTACTCAGTTTATTTCATTCCTTTGTTTTCTCTAAACTTATCTCTGGGCATACTACTTAAACTTTGTTAAGAACAGAAAGGAAGCCTGTATAAATCAAAACCTTTAATTTCTTTCACTTCTGTTAGCCAGAGAGTGTTGAAAATAGAAAGAAAGGATTAAGAAAGAAGGAAATAAGAAAAAGTTGCCATAGCTGATTTAAATTAGCCTGTGATTTAATAGCCAATGACGGTGTCCACTGCTATCTCAGAATGAGTTGCTGCAAAAATTGGATAGTTTTCCAGTGTCTAAGTCAGATGTTCCTCCTGTAGCTTTTTTATTTGGTATGAAGTGTTATGAATTCTCAGAATATCAGCAAATCCATATCCAAATATAACTGCCGAATTCTCAGAATATCAGCAAATCCATATCCAAATATAACTGTCAAATATAATTCAGTTTTGGATTTTGCAGTCATTAGAATTTTGTGTATTTTTGCTCTCATCTGTTGACACAGTTAATTGAGAATCAACTAGTATTGTTCTTCTGATTCTTCCATGTTAAATTGATTATTTTGTCAAATGTTGCTCTTTTTTCAGAGATGGTAATCTTCCAGATATTGTGAACAGTGGAAGTTTGCACGAGTTCCTGGTTAATTTGCATGAGAGATATGGGCCTGTGGTCTCTTTCTGGTTTGGCAGGCGCCTTGTGGTTAGTTTGGGCAGTGTTGATGTGCTAAAGCAGCACATCAACCCCAATAAGACATGTAAGTTTAATTTTCTTTTTAATTAGAGTAGATGTCTATAAACGAAGATCCATACATTGTTCTTAGGAATAGCTAACATTTATTAAATACTTTGTATTATATGCCAGACATTGTGCTGAAGTCTTTATATTAATTACTTCATTTAAGACACAGTATTGTAAAATGATTATTTTCTTCCTTCAGTTTATAGATATGTATGAAAAAAATCCCAGTGTAAATGCCAACAGGATTTTTTTGGAACCTGAAAAACTAGTTCCAGGGTACGTCTGAAAGAGTAAAGGTACAAGAGCAGTTAAGAAACATCTAGAAAGAACATTAGTGCAGGAGATTCTTGTACCATCAGGTCGAACAGTGTATTATAAAACTTGATTAACTTAAAGAATCTTGTACTGTGATAGGACTAGACGGATTGATGGAATGGAATAGGTAGCCCAGTAGACAAACCGAGTATATATGATAAAGGTAGCATTTTATGATAAAGGGGAAAGGTAATAAATGGTTTGGAAAAACTAGTTGGCTATTTGGAAAAAATAAATCTCAGTCCCTGTCTCACTCTTTATATCAGAATAAATTAGAAATGATTAAAATTTGGGGTCATAAAAGTAATAGAAGAAAAAATGGTTAAATCTTAAATTTTTTTGAGGGGGTTGTTGATAAGCCCTTTTGTACCCTGACATGAGATCTAAGAGCCATCAATCACAAGATGGGTAAATCTGTCTACATAAAAATGAAAAAATTTCAGTACGATAAAAAACACCGTGAAAAAGAGAGAGGAAAATGTTGGCCACATACTATATTTCTGTAAAATAAAAAGGTACCATGAAGAAGTTTAAAAGAGAGATGGGGGAACTATTTCCCACCTATATATATATATATAAAGTAAATGCAAACTAATAAGAAAATAAAAGTAAAATGCAATTGTGGAAAAATGGGCAAAAACAAGGTAATTAAAAAAGAAGAAACAAAAATAGCCAATAAGCAAATTAAAGGATTTCAACCTCACTAATAATCAGTGGGATGCAAATAAAAATGAGATTTTCACTTATCTGACTAGAAGAGATGAAAAATGTTGGCAAAACTCATTGTTGTTGAGGGAATGGAAAAACATGGAGTATAAATGTTTTACAAACTATCTGGAGAGAAGGTTGGCAGTGACCTTTGACTTAAGGAATTATCATAAGCTGATAATCACATAGATGAGAAAAGACATTAGTATCATTCATAATAAAAACTTAAAACTTAAAAATTTTTAATGGCTGCATTAAAGGATACATTCAGGCGTTAATATGATGATATAGGTTTATTTTATTTTGTTCTTCAGATACTCATATAGCGATTTCTATATGCCAGCACTATTGTAAGACCTTACACACGTTAACTGATTTAATCCTCAGAACACCTTATGAAGTACGTATTATGATTATCCCCACTTTACAGAAGAGAAAACTGATGAACAGAGAGGCTAAGTCATTTGCCCAAAGTCACACAACTAATTAGTGATGAAGCTGGGACTTGAAGCTAGGCTCTCTGGGCTGGGTCTGTTTTCTTTTTTTTCTTTTTTTTTTTTTTGCGGTACGCGGGCCTCTCACTGTTGTGGCCTTTCCTGTTGCGGAGCACAGGCTCTGGACGCACAGGCTCTGGACGCGCAGGCTCAGCGACCATGGCTCACGGGCCCAGCTGCTCCGCAGCATGTGGGATCTTCCCGGACTGGGGCATGAACCCGTGTTCCCTGCATCGGCAGGCGGACTCTCAACCACTGCGCCACCAGGGAAGCCCATTGGTCTGTTTTCTTAATCACAAAATTTCCGCAACGTGGAAGGATGGCTCCGTTAAGAAATACAAAGATGGGTATAACCAGACATGGCCTCTGCTCCTATGGAATTTATAGTCTAGTGCTGAGGAAGTGGAGGAGCATGTAAATGGTGTTCGAATGATCACACTAATGAACTGAGAGACGTGCTCTGAAAGAAGGGACTGTAGTTCTTTGCAAAATCTGACAGATTTTTCTGTCTGTCTCTCTCTGGTGAGAAATGTTAACAGCTGTAAAAAAAAAAAATCTCAGATATTTAACAGTGACTATTTCTGTGTGGTGAGATTTAGATGAATTTATTTTGTATGTATCTATGTTTTAATTATTTACAATGACAGTGTATTTTTGCGTATGTGGAAACATAGTCATTAAAGAAACACTTATGGAATTCTCTGGCGATCCAGTGGTTAGCACTCTGTGCTTCCACTGCAAGGGGCCTGGGTTTGATCCCTGGTTGGGGAACTAAGATCCTGCGAGCCTCACAGCGCTGCCACCAAAAAAAAAAACCAGGAAACAAGAAACACTTAAAAATGAATGAAGGAGAAAAGAAAAGAAATTTTTGGATTCAGCTAAATAATTTTAACTGTAATACTTGACAGTTACATACACAAAATCAATTTTGCTTTAAAAATCAGTGGTGTGCTTTTTTTTACAAAGTGAAAGATATTGCTGTCATGTGAGTAGAAAATTTATGTCAGTATTAATGATTTACAGTGAAATTCCCAGTCAGAATATTGTTTTCTTGCCAATTTTTTTTTTTTTTTTTTTTGCGGTACACGGGCCTCTCACTGTTGTGGCCTTTCCCATTGCGGAGCACAGGCTCCGGATGCGCAGGCTCAGTGGCAATGGCTCACCGGCCCAGCCGCTCTGCGACACGTGGGATCTTCTCGGACCGGGGCACGAACCCATGTCCCCTGCATTGGCAGGTGGACTCTCAACCACTGCGCCACCAGAGAAGCCCTTTCTTGCCAATTTTTATTGCCTCTTGAACTGTTCACATTTAGGAAAGACAAGGGAGTTGTGAAAAAAAGTTCATAGTCTCTTGGCTACAGTCCCGTACCTCCCTGATCTCTGTTCTTTTGCTGGAGATTTATTTATTTATTTTTTGAGTGATTACTTTGCCTTTGAAATGTTTAATTTGTCTGTTTCAGCGGACCCTTTTGAAACCATGCTAAAGTCATTATTAAGGTATCAGTCTGAGAGTGGGAACGTGACCGAAAACCTCATGAGGAAAAAATTTTACGAAAATGGTGTGACTAATTCTCTGCGGAGCAACTTTGCTCTCCTGCTAAAGGTAAGGTAGTTTGTCCTGGCGTTCTATCATACAGATAATAGTATATGGATCTTCCTCAAGTTACGATGGGGTTATGTCCTGATAAACACATCGTGAGTTGAAAAATATCATAAGTTGAAAATGCATTTAAATACACCTAACCTCCTGGACATCATAGCTTAGGCTAGCCTGCTTTAAACATACTCAGAACACTTGTGTTAGCCTGCAGTTGGGCACAATCACCTTACACTAAGCCTATTTTATAATAGAGTGTTGACTAGCTCGTGTAATTTATTGAATACTGTGCAGAAAGTGAAAAATAGATTGTTGTCTGGGTACAGAATGGTTGTAAGCTTATGGGCTCTTTGCTGTCATGGTCCCATGGCTGGCTGTGGGCTACGGCTGCTGTCGCTGCCAGCGTCACAAAGTGTCGTACTTCATACGCTAGCCCAGCAGAAGATCAAGATAAGAAGTTCAGAGGACCGTTTCTACTGAACGCTTATGGCTTTTGCACCGTGGTAACGTTGAAAAATTGTATGTCGGGGACCATCTGTATATTTTAGTGTGTCTTTGTCTTTCCTACTCTTTTCTTACCTGTCTTTCGAAGCTGAATTTTACTCTTTTTTTGCCGGGGCAGGCCGCACTGCAAGGCTTGTGGGATCTTAGTTCCCTACCAGGGGTTGAATCTATGCTCCCTGCAGTGGAAGCGCAGAGCCTTAACCACAGGACCGCCAGGGAAGTCCCTCTAAGCTGATTTTTATTCTCCTGAAATTCTAAAACAAAACAAAAACAAAACAAAAATCTTAACATCTAGACTCCCTATGTAAGTTGGAATGATGGGAGCAGAGAGAACCTGAAGACATTTTATGTATCAGTAGATTTGTCCATTGTTTTCAGACCAGACTAAACCAGCATTTCCTAAAATATGATCTGAACTCACCTGAAACACTCCCTCTTGTTTAAGGTGCAGATTACTGGGCCTTTACTTGGACACACTGAATCACTGGGAGGGGCACCTGACATTTTTAAGAAGCTCAGCAAATCATTTACAAAGGTTGAGAACAATACTAATCCATACCGTTTCCTTTTTGTTTCTAAAGACCCTTAGCCAAGCCCTGTGCACTGCCTCACAGTTCCCTGTGCTCCCACAGGGCTGTTGCAGACCTTCACCCTTATTCTAGTACTGCCAGTCCTACCAACCCCTTTGCTTGCTGTAGATGTCCTAGCCTCCTGCTTTGCTGAGACTATGGAGTCCTTTACGTGTGAACTCCCTCAGTAGCCTGTTCCCCCACCAGTAGACTCTGTCCATCACAAACCTTGGTTCTTTTTTCTTATTTTAAATCTTGAAGAATCCTTCCTTCTGTCCAAAGCTAATTATCCATTTGTGCCATTTAAAAATAATGTAATTTATAAAAGTAATACATGGTTGCTAAAGAAAATGTGGAAAATCTGATAGTGTAAAGAAATCACCCATAATTTGACTATAGATTTTTTATATGGTTGAGATCATATTGTATGTACAATTTTATATACTTTTTCACTATAAAATGTATCGTAAGCGTTTCCCCATCATTAAGAAATTTGCAGGGACTTCCCTGGCCGTCCAGGTGAAGGCTCTGCACTTGCACTGCGGGCGTTGGGTGAGGGTGGGGTGAGCATGGCTTCGAGGTTCCATCCCTGGTCGGGGAACTAAGGTCCTGCATGCCCTGTGGCTCGGCCAAAAAGAAAAAGAGAAAAGAAAAGAGAAGAAAATTTCCAAAAATAACTAAAATTATGCTTTTTCTGCTAGTCACTTTATAAAATATGGAAACATTTAGAGAAGTCCTAAGGAAAAAAAATAAACGTTTTTGCTGCTGTATCCCTGGCCAACTAAGGTCCTGCATGCCCTGTGGCTCGGCCAAAAAGAAAAAGAGAAAAGAAAAGAGAAGAAAATTTCCAAAAATAACTAAAATTATGCTTTTTCTGCTAGTCACTTTATAAAATATGGAAACATTTAGAGAAGTCCTAAGGAAAAAAAATAAACGTTTTTGCTGCTGTTCATTCCCCGGTGATAACCATGTTTAACATTTTAAAATACTTTGCATCATTCCAGTCATTTCTGTGTACAGTAGAATTTCAGTCAGCATTATACTGTAGAGATAGTTTTAGACTGCATTTTTATTTACCATTATATGATAAGTATTTTTATAACAGTAAATATTCTTAGAAAATTACATTTGAAAAGAGTCTCTAATGTCACTTTTACCTTCTGAATATCTTTCAAATTGCTCTACTCCACCAGCACTGCTCCCATCCTGGTTTAAGCTTCCATCATCTTATGTGGATTGCTTCTCTGCCTTCTCTCTGCCCTTCCCCAATTTCTACCCTCTGTTAGGGATTCTTAGGCTTCTTTTAAGACATGTACCCCTTGCAGTTGTGGTGAAACCTACAGACTCCTTCGGAGAATAGCATTTGAAAATGTGTAACTACAAAGGAAACCAATAGTTATCAAAATGTTATTTTGATGTTATTTTTAAAAAACTTGTGATATTATAGTATCTGTGCTTTATTGTTAATGTATTACATAACAAGATCTAGCAATGCTTCCCCAAACTTCCACAATTTTAAAGTAATGATGTTATGAGAGGCAAAACCATTATTTTGAGAATTTTACAATAACAAAATATAATGTGAACGTATTTGAGATTTGTATTGCGACAAAGTTAAAAGGCCTATATTCAGAAAGAAGTGCTAAATTTTATTTAGAGGCTAGTGAAAAATAAAGATTTTTCCCCCCCATCCAAGTTCATGGACTCCTGGATTCTATGCACAGACCCTTTGGTATCTATGGACTGGATGTTCATAACACCTGAGAACAGACACTTCCAAAATACAATTCTTATTTTATCAGACCCTGATCAAAAATCTCCACTGGCTTCCCTTTGCTCTTGGGACAAACTCTGAAGTCTTGAATGTAATCTTAAAGACCGTATGTGGTTTGACCTGCCTACTTTTCCAGCCTCGTTTCCCACTTTCTCATTTGTGCTTATACTCTAGCCACCCTGGTTTTCTCTTGGTTCTATACCTTGTTCTCTGTTATCTCAAGGGCTCTGTATATGCTATTCCTGTTGCCTGGATTGTCTCATCTAACCATCCACACACCTAGTTAATGCGTGTTTATTCTTCAGCTCAGTTTAGATGTCACTTCCCCAGGGAAGCCATCTCTGATCATCCCACTGTCCCTAGGAAGGTCCCCCTTTTAGATGCTGTCATAACACCCTTTGCTTTTCCTTTGCAGCACGTCCTAGTTTGTAATTATAATATGTGTAATTCTTTGAATAATCTTTCCTAAGCTGTATGCTCCACGGAGGGAGACACTTCTGTTTTGATTTCTACTGTATCCGTGGGTCTTGGTGTAGAGTAGGCCCTCAGGAAATATTTATTAAATCAGTGAATGAATACCGACCAACTTACAGGTCCTCAATTCATAGTCTCTTCTCTTCTCTCTGTGGGTCTGTTCTTGCTATTTTCTCCTCAGCTAACTCCTGGCCAGCTCGTCTTCCAATATCCAGTTTAGTTACCTACCCTCTGCCATTCACTCTCTTTACTACCATGACAACCTGGCCATACTTACTTAACAAAATTAAATTGACTTTCTTATCTCCCTTCTTATATTGTGTTTTCCTTCCCCTTTCCTGTAATCTGTGTACCTCGAAGAAAGTTTTTATTTTGTTGTATGTTTAATGTAGGTTCTTGGGAAATAGTAGTAGTGTATAGAGCAGAGACTAAGCTTGGGCAAAAGGCTTTGAATCTGATTTCTGTCATTTAGTATCTGCATGATTCTTTGTGTGTTACTTGGCCTTTGTGAGCTTTTATTGCCTCCTTTTTTTTTTTTTTTTTTTTTTTTTTTTTTTTTTTTTTTTTTTTTTTTTTTTTTTTTTTTGGCCACTCTGCAGGGATCCCTTAGTTTCCCGACCAGGGGTCAAACCTGGGCCCCTTGCATTAGAAGCACAGAGTCTTAAGCACTGGACCACCAGGGAGGTCCTACTGCCTCATCTTAAATTGAGGATCATAGCATCCACGTTACAAATTTGCTGTGAGGATTATATGAGGTCATGATGTAAAATACCTAACAACAGGTCTTAGAACACAGTAACTACTCAAAAAAATACCTTTCCTTCCTTTGTTTGAGAGGTAGATTTTCCTGCTGTTTGTTTGCTGCTCCCCCCACCTCCCAGCGTTCTTCTGTTCTGTTAAATTTTCTTCTTTCTTACATTTTTCCTGCTCCTCTGAAACTACACCTCCTTATTAATGCTTCCAATTTAGTTAATGCGTTTCTTCTTTCATGCAGGGTTTTATAGTTGATGGGCCTATATCTGTCCCATTTGAAGGGTTACGTAGGAGTCCTTACTGTTCTATATAGATTAAAACCACATTCACTCACAAGTACACAAATACACCCCACTGACTTTCACGTTGTATATGGTAAATAATTTTTAAAACTATGGAAAAAAATTTTTTTTTGAATTTTTGAATTTTATTTTATTTTTCTATACAGCAGTTTCTCGTTAGTCATCCATTTTATACACATCAGTGTATACATGTCAAACCCAATCTCCCAATTCATCACCCCTCCACCCCACTTTCCCCCCTTGGTGTCCATACATTTGATCTCTACATCTGTATCTCTATTTCTGCCCTGCAAACCGGTTCATCTGTACCATTTTTCTAGGTTCCACATATATGCGTTAATATATGATATTTGTTTTTCTCTTTCTGACTTACTTTACCCTGTATGACAGTCTCTAGATCCATCCACGTCTCTACAAATGACCCAATTTCGTTCCTCTTTATGGCTGAGTAATACTCCATTGTATATATGTACCACATCTTCTTTATCCATTCGTCTGTCGATGGGCATTTAGGTTGCTTCCATGACCTGGCTACTGTAAATAGTGCTGCAGTGAACACTGGGGTGCATGTGTCTTTTTGAATTGTGGTTTTCTCAGGGTATATGCCCAGTAGTGGGATTTCTGAGTCAT